TTTACCCCCAGCCTATGGCCTTTTGTGTGCCTCTGCATGCCCATGCTTGAGTAATTGTTGCATATTGCCTCCTTAACCCTAAATACTTGTGTTTTTCCTAAAACAAAACAAAACAAACAAGGACTATTTACTCTTAGTGATCAGAGTCAAGGAGTTAAACATGATGAGCACATTGTTACAGATCTTCAGGCCTAACTCAGATTTGCCAAATGCCCCTTTACATCCTTTCTAGCAAAAGAAAACCCAGGTCCTATTTTAAGTTTTTCAGCTGTTAAATCGCTCCTTAAAACAAAACAAAACAACAACAACAACAAAAAACCTTATTTATTTTGTATGTGGGTAGATGCATACATGTGAAGGTCAGAGGTCAGCTTGCTAGAGTTGGCTCTCTCCTTCCACCCTGTGAGTCCCAAGGATCAAACTCTGGTTGTCAGACGTGGGGTCAAGTGTCTTCCCCCACTGAGCCATCTCGCTGCCTCTCTCTCTTAGTCTTTAATCTGGAACCACTCTGAAGTATGTCTTTGTGCTTAGGGTACATAAGTGTACCGTTTACATACCTGACTTTTCTTTAAAAGGAAATTGAACATTTGAAACTTTTTTTGTTTTTAATACACAGGGTCTTATTTTGTATCTCTGCCTGGCTTTGAATTGCAGCAATCCTCCTGCCTCTCCCTCCTGAATATTGGGATTATAGATATCCATTATACTTGGCTGAGAGAGACTTCTTTTAAAAATATTGATGGATAGATTAGTATTGCAGTGTGATTAAGCTGGGGCTCTGGGATCCGAATTACTTGGTTTCAGACCTTAAGGGCATTACTGACTACCACTGTTCTCTTGGATGAGAATTCTTACCTGTGAAACGAGGATACTGTGGCTCACAGAGATGGCTCGCTCAGCTGTTAAAGGTGCTTGTCGCCAAGCGAGTTTGACCTCCAGGACCCACATGTGAAAGGAGAGAGCCAGCTCCCTCAAGTTGTCCTCAGACCTTAAAGGGCACCACAGCACACAGGTGGTCCCTTTCCTTGCAAAATAAATCAATGTCATTTTCAAAATGAGGGTCCTGGTCCTGGCTCCTCGGAGTGAGAATTCAGTGAAAGCGTGTGAACCCATCACTACACACAGTGTCCTGAAGACTCGGTCCTCAGTAAGTGCTGCTGTTCCTCATTCCACTAACCGGATTCGTCGGGAACATTTGGCAGACGTCCTGGCAGTGGCTGCTGTGGCCACCTTCTCTTGTCTTTTCCTTTCCCCACCCTTGTCTTCACGTCTCAGCTGTGGAGTGTCAGGAGCACATTAACAGTTGGTGGCAGGTAAAAAAAAGGAAAAGAAACTGACCAAATGTTTCTGGACATTTTGGTGGTCTGTGCCAGCCAAGGAAATTACTCCCCTCAATCATGAATGTTTGGCTTTGAATAATATCTAAACATTCATTAATTTAGCTATTAAGTGACTGGATTTTTATTGACTTCCTCCTGAATGCCAGGCATGATGCCAAGTGGTGCACCCACCTCACCTTCTTCCCATGGTCAGTCCTGTGAGCTATACACACCATTCTCCCTGATCCAATAAGCATAGTGATGTGAGGGTCACATAGCTCACTCAAAGGTATGCAGCTGTAAGCAGTGTAAGATGGTTAGGACTCAGCTCTCTGCTTCCAAAGGTCCTCTGTACTCTTTTCTGTTAGGTGATCAACCTATGTGCTTTGAACTGTAGAATTTTAGCATCGAATCCAGAAGTCCAAAAGTTCATGTGTGTCCTTTGGGGGAGATGGTAGGGAGAAGCAGGGTTTCACATACTTGATGCTGACCCAGAGTTTGCTATGTAACCAAGGATGACTGTGGACTTACAGGCATGTACCACCATGCCTAGTTTTTTTGTTTTTTTTGTTTTTTTTGGTTTTTCGAGACAGGGTTTCTCTGTGTAGCTTTGCGTCTTTTCCTGGAACTCACTTGGTAGCCCAGGCTGGCCTCGAACTCACAGAGATCCGCCTGGCTCTGCCTCCCGAGTGCTGGGATTAAAGGCGTGCGCCACCACCGCCCGGCCCATGCCTAGTTTTATGTGGTACTAGGCGTCCACTCCAAGGCCTTGTGCAGTCTACCTAGATCTAAGCTACCTGCCAGCTCCCTTACAAGCAGCTTTTTTTTTTTTTTTAAAGCAAAGTGAAAGAAACTGATTTATTAAGAAAAGTAAGGGACTGGAGAGATGGCTAAACAGTTAAGAGCACTAACTGCTCTTCCAGAGGACCCAGGTTCAATTCCCAGCACCCACATGGTGGCTTAAAACTGTCTATAACTCCAGTTCCAAGCTTCTGACACCCTCACACAGACATACATGCAGGCAAAACACCAATGATCAGAAAAGAAAAGAGAAAACTCCCGAGAGTCGGACGGGTCCAAGGCTGAATCATGAGTATCTTTTTAATGAGAGAGTACTGTAAAATTAGCTAGTAGAATCTGGTGGTGGTGGCTCACACCTTTAAACCCAACACTCGGAAGGCAGGCGGATCTCTGAGTTCGAGGTCAGCCTGGTCTACAGAGCAAGGTCAGGACAGCCAGGGCTGTTACACAGAGAAACGCTGTCTCGAAAAAAACCACAACACAACAAAACAAAAATTAGCTAGTAGTAGAGGGTCATTTTAAAAACCGTGAGTAGCTGCATAGAAGCAAGTTTGGAAACATTTCCCGTGCTATAGACAGTGTGCATTTGGACACAGGTGGGAATCCCTTGTTGTTGGTGACTGACATTAGGAGTGAAACCCCCACCTTGCTTAGATCGGTGTGATTTTTCTCAGAGTTTGGTTCCAGCCGTAGGACTGTCACTCTGCTGCCATGTGCAATCAGTGCCTATGCAAGAAACACTTTAAAAACTCCTGACTAGGAGCAGAAAATGAACTGGCGTTCAGCAGCTTACTGCTGTGTGAGGTTAAGAGTTGAAGGCATAGTGTGAGTTGCTAAAGCAGACAGATGGTGGTAGCTCTGGGGCCATGGGGCTCAGTGCCATCTAGTGCAGTATTTAATTTTGACCGCATGTCATGGTCTTCCTGAGGCCGAGGATGTGGCTCAATTAGAGTGTGTCGATCGCATTCAGGAAGTCCTAGATTTGATCCCCCAGCACTGCATTAAACTAGGTGTGGTGGCACATTCTTGATTCCCAGCATTTGGGAAGTACAGGTAGGAGAGGAGAAACTCAGAGTCATCCTTGGCTATACAGGGAGTCTGATGCCAGCCAGGGCTATGTGAAGCTCTATCTCAAAAAAACAGAACCAAGAATGAATCCCTGTACCCCACTCCAGACTGCTGTGACGTCCTTTGGCTGGGGTTCCCCTGGATGTGTAAAGACGAAAAGCTCCTCCAGGTCGACTCGGGCACAGCTTACCATCTGCCTATTGCTGGATGATCGGATGTCACACCAGCCTTGGGAAGAGTTGGGCACCCTTGGCTAAGGAGTGCTGTCCTAGGCATTCTACAATTCTAAATTAAACTTGTGATTAGAGGTGATAAATGAAGCAAATCTTGGGGTCATCAGCGCACCCCAGGGCATTTTTTAATCCCTTCCTTTCCTTAATTGTTCACTGAAGTTACAAGCTTTCTGAGAATCCCATTTCTGTTAATTACTTAATAACATGCTGGCAATTACCTTGCTCAAAATGACAGTTGCACAAGAGTAACTTTATGGTGCCTTACCATCCGTGGATGGACTACATGCCTCTCGGGGTCCTGTGTATGCTCTGCCTGTGGTTCACAACGTCTGGGAAGCTGCTCTGGGGCCTGCCGTGCTCCCCCACCCCCACCCCCCCCCACCCCTGCCGGTACCCTGATCCATGAGGCTGATACGCTGTCGCCTGTGCCTTGTCTTGCACCAGCCTCTTCCTCACTAGCTAGGTTTCAGATAGACCTGTCTTCTGTGAGTTCTCAACACGCTGACCTCTTGTTCTTATGCACCAGGTCACGTGTTGGATCCCTCTAACCACCTGGGTCCCATCAGAACAGAGTTCCCATATCCATCACATTGCCTTTTTTGTTTTCATCATAGCAGTTTTTGTCTGAAATAATTTTATTTATCTACTTGCTCTCTGTCTCTCCCTCTCTGGGTTAGCTCTGAGACCAGATACCAGTCCAGCCTGGACCCACCGGACCCCAGCATTTCGAACAGTACTGGTTCTTACCATAGATGCTCACTAAGGATGAGAGGAGTGGATGCTTTGGGATCCCCTTCCCCCACCCTCTTATAAACCAGGCTGAGCTGAGCCTGTGGGGGTTTCTCTCAATGCTGGCAGTTTAGAGCTCTGGAAAGTTGCTGAGGCAAAGCTAAAGTGCCCTCAAGCCCAATGATTTTCTAAATCTGCTGCTGCTATGCTCCCACAGAGCTTCACCCTGCCCCCATGTTGTAGGTTAGAGTGACAACGGTTATTTGGAAATGTATGTCCATGAGGCTCAATTAGAGAGTAAATGATCCCTTTGGATTAGAGTTAATTTCATGGTCTCATACAGTGGGAATTTTGTCTTCTGGGCAAGAGCTGTATCCTGAGACCCTGAGCAGTACAAGACATCTCAAATTTAGAAGAAATTTTTTTTTATACACCGCCCCCCTTCCCACCCCTCACCCCTGCTGTTGCTATAGAAATACTGTGTTCTGGGAGAAATAACCCAGTTGTGTTTGGACAGTGCAAGATGGTGTGTTTTATAAAGCTGCTAAAAGCCCCAGGTCCTTCCATGAGGTAGAGGCCTTTGTAGTAGACTCCTTTGAGAATCTGATGATAGTACCAGGCAGCCTCACAAAGGTGCAAACACCTTGCATGTACTCTGGCACATACTGGGAGAGCTTCAAGAACTCACTGAGTGCCCTTTGTGGACCCTAAAATTCTGTTTGGGGATTTAGGTTGGTAATTCATCCACCACAGCAGGGTCACAGCTCTTCCAAGGCTGTCTCCTTCTGATTTGGTCTCCTGTGTTCTGTGTCCTATCTTGTTTCTGTAATAACCTGCTGGACCCTCTCAGGCCCAGAAGAGGCGCTATTCTCCAGGAGTCCAGGTACCCGGTTCTTGACTCCCGATGGTCATCCCTTATTCTCATGTGTCCATCTGACATTTCTTGCTGCTTAGAATCCATGTGGCTGTTGTCTCAGGATTTCTGAGTCTCTGGTCTTGACTGCATTTCCCCTTGCATGTTGACTGGGACAGTGTGGAGCTTGTCCAAGGAGCAGCATGCCCTGTGTTCCCCTCCCCTTCCATCACCTTGCCCCTCTGCATTGACTTGCACTGGGATCATTCTGGAATGGTTAGCTCATCGGTTGTGAGGAAGAATTTACTTCTACAGCTCTGTTGGAGAGAAGGTATCTCTTAAGTAGTGGAAACCCGAGTAGGTAACATGGAAACGTTTAAGTTTTCCTAGGGGGATTCCAAGGGGGATGTTGCCCTCTTGCTATTGGCATTCTTGGAAGTTATGTGTGGATGGACTGAAAGTCTTGACTAAGGAAAGTGGTTGTGGCTAGATAAGCCCGCCCAGAGCCTGTTCCAGCAGTGCTTTGGGGTCCTATTTCATTTGGCATCATATACTGGTAGGGTTACAGTCTGAAAGGAGCTATCCAGACTGGAAAGGTTTCCCTGCCCACTCAAACAGGTATTTTCAGAATACCTGCTGTATGTAAAACACTTTGCTTGGGCAGAGGGATGGGCTGAAGTGGAGACCTGGAAGATGATTTTCCATTTCAGGCAGCACCTGGGGAGAAAGGTAGTCTATCTGTTAAAAAGAAACTCCTAGTATGTAAGTACCAAATGGCGATTGCTGGGAGGAATAGAGTCAAACTCCAGAGTCTTGCAGGGCCACTTCAGGTCTACCCTAGGTCCGGAGCAAGGAGCATTACTAACATTGTGTGGAGTTAAGTGCTTCCTGGGTCCATGTCCCTTGTGTGATCATCTGTATGTGGGTGCTGGGGGAGGGGTGCTTGAGATGAGGCAGGGTGGTTTGCTCATCCAAAAGGTGCTAATTTCCTCTCACTGATATGCAGGCATTGCTAAGAGCTCTCCCTCACCATCTGCCTTTCCCTCCCTGTGTCCCAGCGGGTATTCCCCTACATCTCAGCCATGGTGAACAACGGCTCCCTCAGCTATGACCATGAGCGGGATGGACGGCCCACAGAGCTGGGGGGCTGCACAGCCATTGTCCGAAATCTCCGCTATGACACCTTCCTTGTGATTCGCTATGTCAAGAGGCATCTGACGGTGAGTCCTGTCTTGGAGCAGTTGGTGATATGCACTACCTTTGCTCCTGTGGCCTGTCCCTGATAGATCTTTCCTTTATTCTAGATAATGATGGATATTGATGGCAAACACGAGTGGAGGGACTGCATTGAGATGCCTGGGGTCCGTCTCCCCCGGGGCTATTACTTCGGCACTTCCTCCATCACTGGGGATCTCTCTGGTATTGCACTGTGCTTCCTCTGCCTCAGTTGACCCCTTTTGTCAGTACCCAAGGCTTGGTGAGGCCTTCTCTGAAGAGAATCAGATGTAGGAGCTATGGGAAGCCATGCACATGGCTTAAGAATGCTGGACATTGCTGTCTAGATCCTGTCAAAGCTCCAGTCCAGGCCCTCTTGGGATTAACTCAAGCAGTGTGTGTGCCCTTGTCTAGGCAGCTCTTCGATCCTGTGTGAATGCCTTGCTTCCCTGCCTCTTCCGGCCTATCCTGTTGTCAGGCTTCTCGCATTACACTTACCACTGTGCCCAGTTCCCTTTCTCCTCTCAGAGCTGTTCCTCGACTCCAGCGTCCCTCTCCTAACCAGCCTGCCATCCCCCTTTGTTCAGACTGTTGAATGGAGCGTGTGTACAGTTTGCTAGCCGTCTGCCTGCTCCCGAGCTGTGCTCGGTCCCTGGGTCTCTCTGCCTTGCCGTCTGCCTGCTCTTGACCAGCAGCCCCTGCCTCCTTGCCATGCACAGTGCTCTGGGCTCCACATGCGCTGACCACTCGTCAGCTCGTTTCACTGGCACCCTGAAACGCTTACCTTCCTTGACTGATATGCCAACACTCTACCTAGTTTTGGTCCAGGCAGCCAATTTAAAAATCTATAAATTTCTAACCTATAGTTACGTTTTTTTGTTTTTTTTTCGGGGGGGGGGGTAGTTGTTTGGTTTGGTTTTAAGACAGTTTTACTTTGTACCCTGGCCCTGAGCTGGCGATACAGCCGGCCTCCACCTTCTACGTGCTGGAATTACAGGAATGCATCACCACACCTAGCATAGTCTCATTTTTCTTCTTCAAGGACTCATTGAGAAAGTTCAACTGTTTCTCAGTTGTCCCAGGCCTTGATGTCCACACACTGTAGAAAGCATTGCCCTGGCTTTGTTTTGAAGGAAGGAAGGACAGAGAAGGGCAAAGGAGAGGAAAAAGGAGGAGGCCAAGGCGGGAGGTTCTCTGAGTTTAAGGCCAGCATGGTCTGCATAGTGAGTTCCAAGGCAGCTAGGGCTACACAGTGAGACCCTTGTCTCAAAAAATGAACAAAATAAAAAACAAAAACAAAAAAAAAAAAGGAAGAAAGAAAAGAAAGATGAGCTGGACTACATAGCAGTTCCAGGCCACTTTGAGCTACAAAATGAAACCCTGCCTCAAAAAAGGAAAGGAAAGGAAAAAAGGAAAGATCTGTATTCTGTGTAGCTTTTTTTTGACATTTTATTTGTTTGTTTTGTGAGAGGGTCTATGTAGCCCAGGCTAGCCTAGAACTTGCTGTGTAGCCCAGACTAGCCTTGAACTCAGGATCTTTCTGCCTCAACCTCTTGAGTGCTGAGATTGCATGTATGCACCATACCTGGCCTGCCCTGGCTTTTTATCTTATTTTATCTTTTTTTTTTTTTTTTTTTTGGTTTTTCGAGACAGGGTTTCTCTGTGTAGCTTTGCGCCTTTCCTGGGACTCACTTGGTAGCCCAGGCTGGCCTCGAACTCACAGAGATCCGCCTGACTCTGCCTCCCGAGTGCTGGGATTAAAGGCGTGCGCCACCACCGCCCGGCTCTTATTTTATCTTTTTATCTTATGTCCTATATTTTATTTTATTTTTATTTATTTATTTTTGATTTTTCGAGACAGGGTTTCTCTGTGTAGCTTTGCGCCTTTCCTGGAACTCGCTTTGAAGACCAGGCTGGCCTCGAACTCACAGAGATTCGCCTGGCTCTGCCTCCCGAGTGCTGGGATTAAAGGCGTGCGCCACCACCGCCCGGCTTATGTCCTATATTTTAAACTTGGTTCTGACAGCAAAAACATTTTTCCAAATGAAGATGAAGGCAATTTCTTCTGCTCTGAATTTGTTGATGGTTGTAGCAGACCAAGGAGCTGTGGGTGTGTCCACAGAAACTACCAGAAATCTAGGCTAGGCTCGAAGGAAATAATTACTGAATATCAATGCCCCCTCAAGGGAGCAGAGCTTCCTCAAGAATTAGTTGAAACCAGATCTGAGACAAGAAATGTGACAAGCCTAGAACTGAGAACAGCCAGGAAGGCCATATGCAATGGCATGCACATTTAGTTCCAGCACTTAGGAGACAGAGGTGGGTGGATCTCTGTGAGTTCCAGGACAGCTAGGGCTACAGAGAGAGACCCTGTCTCAACAAATCAATCAAACAAATTTTTAAAAAGCCCAAAAACCAACTTTAAAAAAAAAAAAACCCTTAAAAAGAGAAGTTAAGTACAGTGGCTCAGATCTCTAATTCATCATTAAGAAGGCTGAGATGAAAAAGTCACAGGTTTGAGGCCAGCAGCTTGGGCCACATAGTAAGACCCTGTCTCCTAAAACCAAGCAGAGACCAAACGAGCAAAGGAGAGAAGTAGGACCTGGGTGTGGTATCAGATACCTGTAATCCCAGTACCCAGGAGCCTGAAGCAGGAGGCCCATCCATCAAGGCCAGCCTGCACTGCACTGTAAGACTCTCTTACACACTAGTACTTATGCACATAAAGAGAGACCTAGTCTCTAGTTTCCTGATCTCCTTTCTAGTAGCATTAGGGAGATCAGGGCCAGAATTCCAAATAGCCACAAAGAAACAGAGTTTGGGGGAGCAGCATCTTCCACGTAAGTAATGTTGCCCTGACCAAGGCCTGTTAAACAGATGGTGGGGGACCATTTCTCCTCTCTGCCTATGTGTATGTGTGTGCTTATACTCCACCAAGAGGAAGCTGTGGTGCTGCTGTGTCTCCTCTTAATGGATGATAGAGGATTTAGTTATCTTCAGTGCTTTTTAAGGTTTTAAATTTTTATTTGTGTATATGTGTGTGTGTGTGTGTGTGTGTGTGTGTGTGTGTGTGTGCACGTGTGCACGCATGCTTGTGTGTGTGTTGTATGCACGTGTGTGGGCAGGTGCCTGTTTAAGCCAGAAGAGGGCTCCAGATTCCTGGAGCTTGAGCTGCGGATGGTTCTGATCCATTTGATGTGGGTGCTGGGAACTGAACTCTGGTCCTCAAGCAAGTGCTCCTAACCACTGAGACATCTCTCTAGCCCCAGTTACTTTCAATATTTTTAGTTTTTTTCATTTATAATATATATGTATGTATATATTTGCCAATAAAATACATAGGATACATAGAATATATATACAGTTCCTTATTCTTTAGATGAGGAAATAATGAGGCTTTACTTTTTTTTTTAAGAAGTCTGGTTTTTGTTGGGTTTTGCTGTTGTTGCTTTTGAGAGTCTCACTGTGTAGCCCCCACTGGCCTAAGTCTCGGATGTGTAGACCAAGTTAGCCTTGAATTTGCATCAGTTCTCCTGTCTCTGCCTCTCAAGTGCTAGAATTACAGGCATGGGCCACCACACTTGGCTTTTTTCTTTTTTAATTAAGTGCTGGTGTCACAGGCGTGCATCATCACAGGGGCTCACATGACACTTTGATCCATCTGTGTCATTGTCCTTCATACCCAGCACCCTGTCTTTGTGCCCTCCTGCTAGTTTTCCCCTCTAGTTCCCCATAGGAGAACGCTCTATTTGCCTCATTTCCACCTCCCTCCTCCTGTTAGTCTCCTTGCGCCCCCTCAAACAGTTCTCTTTCTACTTGAGATTTCAAGGTGGCTTCAGGTCACTGCCGTCAGTGGATCAGAGACTTGAGCCCGGATACTAACTCCAAAAGCCCTCTTGAGGCAGCTGGAGTAATCCTCCCAACTCTCTCCTCTAGATAATCATGACGTCATTTCGATGAAGTTGTTTGAGCTGACTGGGGTGAGGACCCCAGAAGAAGAGAAGCTGCATCGTGATGTATTTCTGCCCTCAGTGGACAATCTGAAGCTACCTGAGAGTGAGTGTGGGATCCTGGGAAATGGCCCATGATCAGGGAGGAGGTTGCAGTGTCCATGGAGTCTGGGGTGACTGGCATCTACAGCTGTCAGGTTGGTCTGTCTGTGCTCCTCTGAGGCACATGGAATGCCTGCACTACCTTCCCACCTGTCCTGTAACAGGCAAGCAGTAGCATGTGGGCTGCTTCATTTTTAAATTGAGCCATCTGGAAAGGGGGAGTCAGGGCTCTGGCTCCCCAGAAGTGGGTGTCAGAAACCAGGGACCGGATAACCTGTTGACCCATTGTAGGATGGGCTCCATTTCTCTGATTTTTTTTTTTCTTCTTCCTCAGTGACTGTACCACCAGCACCCCTGAGTGGCCTGGCCCTCTTTCTTATCGTCTTTTTCTCCCTGGTCTTTTCTGTGTTTGCCATTGTTATTGGTATCATACTCTACAACAAATGGCAGGACCAGAGCCGAAAACGCTTCTACTGAGCCTGCCGCCATCCGTCCCTCGGTGATGTTTACCCATGAGGTGTGGATCTGAGCATACAGCCCGGGAAGTCTGCCTAAGTCACCAGCTGTTCAGGGACTGTGTTCTGTCACTGGGACTTTGAATGCAGTGACCCTGCATTCTCATGGTCATCCACAGGAGCATCTCACTGGCCCAAGATGCCACCCACAGGGTCAAGCAGCTGTGACGTGCCTTTCCCTGCAGTCCTTCCACTTCGGAGTGAAAAGACATGGAGAAATAGAGATTGTGATGCCTAAATTACAGAACTGGACAGCTCCCCCCCCACATGGACTGGATGCAGCAGGCCTTCCACTTCATTTTGAAATTCCCAGATAGAAAACCAGAACTCACACAACCTGGAAACAAACCCACTTACTAGTTTTTGCTTTCTCTTTCTACTTGAGGAGCTCCTTGGCAATGTGAGTGGAGACTTGGGCCGTACCTGCCTCCCCGGCCTCTCTGTCTCCCTTCACTCCTTGTCCTCTTTGTGTGCATCCTGAGCTAGGAAAGAAATTTGCTGCTCCCATTAGGTGGCCCTGGGGCTGTCTGCGTTAGCTCATTGCTTCAGCCTGTGTTCTGTGCTGGGCGGATCTTGTTCCTGTCTGTCCCTGTGCTTTCCTAATCAGAGCTCTTCAGGCCTTTGGATCGTTTGGCTAAAGGTTGTTACAAATCAAGAGAAACTCAGACAACTTTACAGATGCAGTGAGATTGACTGTGGAATCATCCCGGTCCAGGTGTGCCACAGAAAGCAGCCTTCATCGGTCCGACCATGTGGGGGTGTTTCTGGACCCCCGGAGCCTGCTTAGCTGCATGTTTTGTTTCTCGTGATTCTTGGGATCCTGCTTTGAGTGTTGGAAGTGAAAAGCAGCTTTCTTGTTCCCTGGACTCGGACAGGACATGACCCCGAGAGATTTGGCTTCTTATTGAGAAGAAACAGTTGCTGATCTCATGTAACAAATCCTCTGTGTCTGGAGAAGTTCTGACCATTGAGCTGCACAGCTCGAGTGCAGTCCTGTGTGTGCGTCACCCCTATTATACTGCCTTAGTCTACAGATGTCACATATCTGCCCTGTGATTAAATTGGTTGCAGGCTAGTCTCCCTGGAGAGCCTGAAACTGAGTTCTCTGGGTCTCGGAAGCCCAAGGAAAATTCTTAAAGAGACTGATGGAACCAATCATGAGTCCTGGCTCAGTGGCTTCTCTGGTGGGCTTAGTGGCGAGGCTCCAGCCTTTTCCTGAGCTCTTGCCTTGCTCCTCCTGGGTGGCTGGGAAAGCCCTCATGCTCTCCCCTTAGCCCATCAGTCCCCAGACTAGGAGGAGGGGTCACCCGGCTTCAGATGGGTGTTCATCTTCTCAGGCCTCTGGCTCTCCCGTGTGCTTAATTAAGCAGGATAGTATGGTGCTCTTATGCAGGAGAGTTCAAGGTGGGCTGCAGAGAGCCTCTTCCTAACACCTTCTCACAGTAGCAGAATAGCTTCAGGGGAGCTAGGAGAACTGGAAACAATGGTAGTTTTGTCCATTTTGAGCTCAAAAGGAGGGGGGATGGGTCCATGTGGTAGAGGACCTAAGTGGGCTGTTGAGATGACGGTCATAGCAGTGGACCAAGAGGATTTTATTATCATGGGAGGGGTAAGAGAGAGTGAGTCAGGTTTGTGGGATTCCTGCTCATCTACATCTTGATGCTTTTTAAGAAGGCCAGGAGATAGGATCTGTGGTCCCCACATAGCCTGGGAACTAGTCTTTTCCCACTGAGAAATGTATAAGAAAACTGCCTGTGCCGGGTGGTGGTGGTGCACACCTTTAATCCTAGCACTCGGGAGGCAGAGGCAGGTGGATCTCTGAGTTCAAGGCCAGCCTGGTCTACAGAGCCAGTTCTAGGACAGCCAGGACTATGCAGAGAAACCTTATCTCAGGAAAAAGAAAAAAGAAAGAAAGCCACCACTCAGCATCATACGTCCTGCCTCAGCTCTTGCTTTTTGTTGCAGAAACCAATGTTTTTCATGCAAGTGGGGCTGTTTTTCTAGGCAGTGTAACCCCAGAGTGTGTGCTGGAGGAGGTAGCTCCTGGTCCCTGGTGTGGCTCTTGTGCGTTCATCCGGGAGTAAAAGCCGTGGCCTCAGTGTATGACTCGCAGTTACCTTTCCCTGATTTTCTCTGTCAAAGCCTCTGCACATAGAAGAAGCCCAGGACTAGACGGGGTGATTAGCGTGGATGGCGTCATTCCCCAAGCCTCCCGTGAAGAGTTGCCGCTTTCAGCCTTTCCCATTGTCTTTAATCCCAACCCCCAAGTGCCAAGTGGCTTGGTTAGAAAAACGTATTTATTTCAGTAGACAATGAACAGCTCTGCTCTTGTTAGAGGTGGTCTCTATAAACATTTGAGTCAGAATATGCACGGCCCTTTGGACATATCCTAGAAGACTCAAACAAGGATCTGCTAGGAAGCCCAAGGGTCAGGGTACTTAGCAGGAGAGAAAAGCCAGGTCACCTAGCCTTGTGGACCTGGAATCTCCAGGACGACATCTTTCATGCGATTCCTGGATCCTTAGAGGAATGTCGACCCATTGTTTTTTAAAGGCCGTAGTTTTGAGCCCTCCATGGAAAAGACGGTAGAGTTGATATTGCTGGTGTTTACTGAACCGATGAGGTTGACTATTTTAATGGGAGGATTCAGCCGAAGTTCAGGTTTGATCCAGGCCATGGCCAGATAGTTCTAGAGAGAAGAGACACCAGAGTAGCCTAGAGTAGAAACCTAAGTGTACTCTCAGAGGTGGCACAGGAGTGGCCGGCATCGTTGCCCCTCCCCAGTGATCAGCACTCACCGGAGCCGAATAGACGAAGTTGAACAGTATAATCCCCAGAACCAGGACCACCACGCAGCATATGATTTTGGTGCGGTAGCGCTTGCAGAAAACATAGCAGAAGTTTTTAATAGGTGACTGGTACCACCAGGAGTCATTTCGTCTGCCCAGGACAGCAGATGCCAGAGAATGGAGGGTAAGAGGGACCTTCAGGTCAAGTGATCCAGAGCCTTGGCTCTTTTTTTTTTTTTTTTTTTTTTTTTTCTTTTTTTTTTTTTCAAGACAGGGTTTCTCTGTGTAGCTTTGCGCCTTTCCTGGAACTCACTTGGTAGACCAGGCTGGCCTCGAACTCACAGAGATCCACCTGCCTCTGCCTCCCGAGTGCTGGGATTAAAGGCGTGCGCCACCACCGCCCACCACCGCCCGGCTTTTTTTTTTTTTTTTTTTTTTTTTTTAGCAGACTGGGGAGCCCCTTACACCCAACCCCATGTCTTATTTCCTGACTGTAACTTAGCCATGTAGGAGGAAGTAACTATCCCTTTCCACATGGAGGCCCACCAGTCACCACCCTATACAAAGGAGGAGGCAAGGGCCTGGTGCCTCTGCCCCACAGGGCCCTTACACGGGAGGATGGAGTGTAGGGAATTGGTTGGGTTCTGACTGGCCTCGCCCGGCTGGCCTGATTAGAGCTTCCCTCTCTGACAGCATCTCCAGAGTCATCTTCACTTTACCCTAGAAAGGCCAGAGACAGAGGCAGGGCCTGCCCTGGTCAGACAGTAGGGGCAGGGGCCTTCCAGGACCACTTCCCTACCTCCACAAAGGAAGGGGGCTTTGGCTAAGGTCCTAGAAGTCTGCTAGAGCCAGGTTAGATGGCATCGTGGCCCTGTGCACTAAACACCTTCCCCAGCTCCTACCGACAAACGCCACTTGTCCCCATCGTGGACCTGACAAGGCCACCATCCAGTTACATTGGACTTCTTAAAGAGAGAGATGCGCTTCGGTTGCATGGAGGGCCATTTGCTGTCCATTTCCATCATCTTGAGGGAGCACTGCTTGCTGCTCACAGCCGGAAGGGGCATGTCTGATAAATTCAGCTCCAAGACCCCTGAGCCCAGAGAAAGGCCATCATCAGCAAGAGGAATTGTTTGTCCTGTGTCACAAACCCTACCCCAGGACCTCACCTAAGAAGTCATCAGGGGAGAAGAAGTCATTGTCCCATATCTGGATGATGAGCCGGGCTGGAAACTTCATTGAGGTGGGATCCAGGCTCCATATGTAGTCCTAGAGGACAGCAGAAGGCTGTGTTAATGGCCTGCCTCATGGACATTGCCCTTGGATGCCCATCAGTCCACTAGTCAGTAATGACAGACTAGCAAGGAAGAGGGGTTCTGCCTGAGGACTTGTTCCTAACATCTGGTCCCAGCTTGCAGGTCTCTGAAACGAGGGCGAATCTCTTGGACCCTAAGGCTCTCTCCCCTTTCTCCTTCCTACCCCTTACCTTCTGGCTTTGGACGCATACACGCTCTGTCGCCAGGTAGTCCATGGTAAAGATGAACCTCCAGTTGAAGATGGCCTTCCCAGTCAGGGAGTGGTAGTGGACATCTGTCTTCTGCATGTCCTTCTCTAGCCCAGATAGCCACCTGGGGCCAGAGTCCTTTCACCTGGGGTTCCTGTGTGTGGTCCCCATCCCGCCGCACACAAGCAGTGGCTGAAAGATGTCTCCCTCAAGACCAGGAGGTTCCAGCAGGGTGACAGAACCAGGAAACTGAGGGGCCTTCTGGAGTCCTCCCCCGCGTCTCACCCTTTGACGTAGATGTCGCTCATCTTCTCTTTACTTAAGGTCTGACGAACCAGGTCCACCTGGGAGGTACTCCAGATGATGCAGCGCAGTTCATACCTGCAGTCACTGTGCTCTGAGGCTGGGCTGAGGACCAGCCCCTACCCCCCCCCCCCCCCCCCCAGCCACAGTCTCGCAGAGGGAGGAGCTGCCCAGAGAGCCTGAACTTGGGCAGGAAAGCTCCTTCTAACGCTGGTAGAGAAGCATTCCCACTGCTTAGGATGGGAGGGCAGAGGCTCCCTGCACCCTGGGGGCTGAACTGGAGTGCCATGATTAGGAATTGGGTTTTCACAGACTCACCGTTTAGGCTTTCTGGGGCTGATGTTGACTCGGGGGCCAGGAGGCCCCAGCATCTTGGGGAAGATATCCACCCACATTTGTATTTTTCCCTAGAGCCAGAATGGATTTGCAGGTTGGAGGTTGCTGGTCTCTCTCCAGTTAGGTGGCATGAGGGAGGGCCAGAGGCTTGGAGGAGGCTGTATTCCCACCACCCAGGGGTTGGGCACAGAGATTTCCGGGAGGCGGCAAGTGGCCACCTGCCAACCTCTTTAGATTTTTTTTTTTTTTTTTTTGGTTTTTCGAGACAGGGTTTCTCTGTGTAGCTTTGCGCCTTTCCTGGAACTCGCTTTGGAGACCAGGCTGGCCTCGAACTCACAGAGATCCGCCTGGCTCTGCCTCCCGAGTGCTGGGATTAAAGGCGTGCGCCACCACCGCCCGGCTTTAGATTTTGTCTGGGAAGACAAGTGAGCAAGGGGGAAGGATGCTGACTGAGACCGAGAGTGTTGAGATGTCACTTAGGAACTGGGGTAGGGAGTGAGGAGGTCATGCTAGGTGGCCTGTTGTTGGGGATCCGTGGTGGGGGTGGGCCTTGTGTATTCAGCAGCATGGAAGCCTTAAGTAAGGAAACTGGATGGTCAGTAAGGTCATTTTGTGTTGTGTGACCACCATCTAAGGCTATTAAGCTGGCCATAAAGTAGAGAGTCTTGAGAGAAAGAATTAGTGGTGAAAATGGAGAGTAGAGGAACGGAAAAAAGGGGTGGAGCCACCAGCCTTGGAAAACAGGTAAACATGTTCTGCCCGTCAAACCACCTGGCCTACTTTTAGTCTTCAGAGTTGACCCATTTGAGAAAGCCAGTTTAATGAGGATGGTTATTTTAAAAATTGCTCAGCAGAAGACTTCATGAATGTTGAAAGATTTGTGGAACGATGGAGCCATTTTTATTGTTAGACAATGAGGGATAATTAAGGTGCCCTTGGAGATCTGTGTCCCTGGTTCCTTGCCATAGAGAAGACCGCTTGCAGTTAAGCATCCAGACCCGGGTTTTGCAGTGTTTGTACCCTCTGAGCTGTGATGCCACCTCCTTACACCTCAGGAGAGCAAAAGCAGTAATATAAACGGTTGGTGGGATACCCTAGAGGTTCCCACAACTGTTGTGTGGCATCCATTTCTTACAGCCTTTCCAGGTGTGACGCTCTAAGTGACATCATTGGAGCATCTTCCTTACTAACGTGCAAAGCATACTTGGCTCTTGTCTGTATTT